CACGCTCAGCTAGCCTGAGCCCCACCCCCAGCCCGGCCGGTGCTCCTGCCCAGGCCCCAGACTCACCCAGGAGACGACGCGGCCGTTGAAGCAGGGCAGCCTGGCATTGTCCGCCGAGATCTCCTCCTTGACCACCCTGCGGGCAGACGCCTCCGTGAGGCCCCCGCACAGGGCCGTCTCCCCAGTGTGCTCCGGGGAGAAGCCCCCACCGACCAGGGCGCCCAGCACACGCCCAGCTGTCAGTCTGAGTGGATGTCCCGCCCACCAGTCTCTTCCTGGGGCTCTTGTCATCCCCCTGAGGGCCCCTTCCAGGGCCCAGTCCCAGGGGCCAGACCTCCGGCCCTCAGCACTGGGCGTCACCACCTGCAGCACCTGCACCTCGAGTCCACCTTGCTCTGTGTGCGCCCCATGGGAAGAGCTGCGAGGGAGGGGCTCTGCCTGGTTTCTCCTCTGCACCCCTCCCCCAGCCTCAGCCAGGACCCCATGGACACAGGCGGGTTGAGAAGGCACAGTACACACGCCCCCACACGCACGCACACACGCACGCGCTCTCCAAGGCCACCTGCCCACCCAGGGAGACAAGCAGACCCCACCTGCTGCACCTGCCCAACTCCAGACCCGAGAGGCCAGCTGGGCCCACCGACAGGCCAGCCTCGGAGGTCAGCGAGCCCCTCCCTGACCGCTGCACAGTGGCCACACCCACTGCACAGCGAGCAGCCAGGCCTATTTCTTTCTTTCATTATTACTTTTAAGTATTTTTATTGCTTTCAGAGAGGAAGGGAGAAGGAGAAACATCAAGGGAGAAACATCAAGGATGCGAGAGAATCATGGATCGGCTGCCTCCTGCACGCCCCCCACTAGGGACCCAGCCTGCAACCTGACCAGGAATTGAACCGTGACCTCCTGGTTCATAGGTCGACACTCAACCACTGAGCCACGCCAGCCAGGCACCAGGCCTATTTCTTAATGTTGCCCCTGGTCAGGTGGCTTGAGGGTGGTGGAGGGCAGGATGCAGAGGTCAGGGCAACACTAACTGGGAAGGAGGCCCATGACCCCTGGGTTCAGAAACAGGTGTGTGTGGGGGTCAAGGGTCAGGTTCAGAGAGGTGAGGGGGACAGCAGCCAGCACAGCTGGCAAGGGGCCCTGGGGCAGGCAGGACAGGCATGTGCTGTGGCCCAGACACACCCCACACTGCGGCCCCTGGAGGCCCAGGGAGCAGGCCAGGCAGGGTGGGGGCCTGGAGCCCAGCCCCGCCCAGCCCCGCCCAGCACAGCAGGATTTCCATGCCCGAGACCTGAGCCCAGTGGAGAAACAGCCTCCCTCAGCGAGTCCTGGGCAGAAGCAAGTGACAGGAGCCCCCCGAGCTGGCACCCCACACTCCCGACCAGGGAGCAAGGCTTCACACACAGGGAGGGGGCCCTGGACCCTGGGGCAGAGGAGATGGAGGAGACAGGGCCAACCTGGGGGGAGGGGGCACCCCCAGACGCCTTCCAGGGCCAGCCCCACAGGCACCAATAAGCTGGGCACCTCAACCTGCAGAGAAGGTCTTTCTCAGGCCCCACCCCCCAGGAAGAGTGGCCCCCACATCTGCTGCCCCCACTCAGGCGCCACAGCCCTGCAGACCTGAGCGGCCAAGGAGGCCGTGACCTAGCCCAGACCCGAGGCGGTCAGCACAGGAAGACCTGGGGTGGGCCGGGGACATGGGGACTCTGCCAGCTGCAGCTGACTGACCAGGGAGGGGGGAGAGGAGGGGGTGGGGGCCAGAGCACGGTCTCTGAGTGACGCAGCGAGACCCGGTCCCCACACAGCCAGGTGGCCCCTCCGGCGGCCTCCCTGCCTCACCAAGCTCCCCCCTTTCTGATTCACCCACAGGGCGGAGAGTGGACCTCGCTGGGCAGGGAGTGGACCTCCGCAGCATCTCCACTGAGGCCACCCAGGCACCCCTGGTGGCTTCTTGCCCTTGACCTCAGAATTGCTGGTGAGATCCCAGTGAACCTGCAACTGGTGGCTGCCCGGCCCCACCCGCCACCCCTGCAGACCCACCCTGGGAGCCGAATGTGGCCAAGGGACCAGGAGGACCCGAGGGGCCAGCCCCTCCCCGTGGGGCAGCTCTCAGTGCGTCCCCAGGAGCACGGGGCCCCCCATCCTCTCCTCCCGCCACAGAGCAGGAAGGTGGCAGAGAGCTTCCCTCACTAGGTGGCCCGCCGTGGCCAGGACAGACACTCAGGGAACTCAGGCCCAGCCCACAGTGGCGGGGGGGGGGGGGGGGGGGGAGCAGGAGGCCCAGGCTCACCAGGATGCTCCTCACAGCCCCCCAAGTGAGGCCGCCCTGTCATGGGCCTGCCCGCCCTCCCCACAGCTCCAGTTAGGTCCGCTAGGCAACCAGGTCTCATTCACACTAAAGTGTAACAGATTACCCCTCCCATTTAGCCCCCGAATAAATGGTTCTAGGACAGGCAGACCTTGGGGCTCTGCAGACAGATCTGGGGGGCAGGGGAGAAAGGAGGCAGCTGATGGGGGTCTTCGGTGACCCGGCCACCAGCCAGCGATCCGGGGAGGAAATAAGCGAGCCCGTGCCGTCTGCCCACTGTGCCTTCCATTCCCCTGCTGACCCCCCTCGAGCTCAGAGCTGCCCCTGCCTCCCAGCCGGGTCCTGCTCCCTCCCCCGCACCCAGCCATTTCCAGGCCTGAAGAACTCGTGCTGCTCCAAGACCCCACAGTCTGCCCACCCTCCTCCCCAGCCAGGGACCCACGTGTCCTGCAAATCCCCCCGCAGGCCGGCCTCTGCGGGGCGTGCATGTGGGGTGGGGGGCTCTGCAGCCCCTGAAGAACTCGTGCTGCTCCAAGACCCCACAGTCTGCCCACCCCGAGGCCGGCAAACTGGGGCCTGGGCACACGCCTGGCCACACCACAGGCCTGTGCTGGCTTCAGTTCCTGACAGAGAGCGTGTGTGGCTTTGGTAACTTCGATAAGTAGTAAACCGAGTCCCCCCGGCCGGCGTGGCTCGGTGGTGAGCATCAACCTATGAACCAGGAAGTCAAGGTTCTGTTCCTGGTCAGGGCACATGCCGGGGGTGTGGGCTCAAACTCTCTCATCGTTAATGTTTCTATCGCTCTCTGCCTCTCCCTTCCTCTCTGAAATCAATAAAAATATTATATTTTAAAAACAAATAATAATAGACTAAGTTAAAAGCAGAAGTGCCCGTTCACAGAGCGGAC